TCATTCTAGAATGAAAAAGCCATAATTTATATTTATTTCCTAATTTTTTATGGTGGTTACGAGGTCGGTCAAATTGACCCAACCCATACAGAGATACAGTAGTGAAAACTAACAGATAAAATAGAAAGTTTTTAAAAACTTATGGTAATTATCTTGAGGTTATAAACATTTTGCATGTGAAATTTTAACATTTTATGATGTATAAAGTATTTTTAATCTTAAAATGAAAATTACTTTTCATGTTGGATAGTAAACATTCGAAAATAAAAAACAGGAGAAAAACATTGCTTAAGAAATCTTAAAACTTAATAAAAAATCTGATATTTTGTGTATGAAAGCATTATAAGGTTTACTGATAATCTACAAAATTTCGTGAAGATACACTTGCTGTATTAAAAGTTATAACAATAAATCTATAACAAGCACAAAATGGTTAAGAGGTTGGTCCCTGGGATTGAACCCATTCTGAAAGAGTTAAGGACATTGTTGACTGTGTTATTATTCTGTGTTCTTTGGTACATTATTTAAGTGAATAAAATTTAGTGCTCTAGTACCATCATTATAAAACAAAAAAATTAGGCTTACATTTCATCGGCAACTGACAGTAAAAATACAAGAGGTCAAAAGTATTATATTTTTGGTTTTTCAAGTATTTTTTTTACTTGCTGTTATAAAAGGTTATAACCTGTTATTAGGTTAGGTAAGATAATGAAATATGATAATAAAATTCTTCAGCTAGTATGTCCAAAAGCTGCAAATCTTTAGTAAAAATACTTAATTAAAAAATCAGATTTTTTGTGTACAAAGACTTGCAATGCTGTACTGAAGGTACACAAAACATTAAAAGTTATAGTATGGAAACTGATGGTTACTGTGTGGTTACAAGGTAGATCGCGTATGGTAAGAGTAAAACTAGTCATAAATGTGTCATCAGTTTGACATCATGAATATTAATATTGCAACAGGGACTTGAATGTACCTATTTCTTGCACAAGGCTACAAATCTTTATATTAAATGTACTTGTAGAAATAACTAACAAAAGTATTAAATTAGAAAAGTTTCTAGTAAAATCTGAGGGCAAGTAAAGTTCATATAAAAAAACTTGTATAAAGTCCATTAAATATGAAATAGGTGGAGCTTGGTTTGTCTAGCCAACTGTATTTTAAGTACAAAGATATGTTGATGCTGAATGAAAACTGTACATGTAAAGTGATAAATATTTAAATACATTAGGCTCACATCACTTGTGTGTACTTTAAATATAAATCATGACACTACCAAGTCTCCAGAAGATGGTAGATCATGTTGCCCACCAAAACATTGAGAGCATGTTTTTCTTTTAAATTTATACAAATAAAGTTATTGTTCACATGGAAACAATGGTATTGTGATTGTTATTAATGAATATTTTAGTTTTTACCTTTTCCATTTTAATGAAAAATGTTCTTGCCATTATTAGTTGGGAAGGTATAACACTGGAAATAGAATCTGTGAACATAAAATATACCAATGTACAACAGAAACATTGAACTGTACGTTCCATAGTCAGTAAAATATAGTTGATGGATGTATTAAATAGTATATTAACCCAATAAGAACATCTTGAAATGAAGATATTTATATTTTATAAAAATAATAATTGTATGGTTTTACACAAACTTAAGGGAAGGTTTTTTAGTAGTATTTTTTTGAAGCTAGCATTGATCTTTATAATTTGTAATTTTTATATTTATAAAATACATTGTGTATTTGTGAATCACCATAATAATTTTACATATAATAATTACAAATTTCTTGGCATGCTGGCCTCTACCAAAGATGATCAAGCTGTTACTTTTCCTGAAGGTAGGCTACTGTTATGGTTCTAATACTAAAATATTCATAAGTGTTTTGTTAGTTGTATGTGTGTGTGTTAAAGCATTGTTTGGAGTGGGACTAAAATGAAAACCTTAGCCATTTGACAGACTTTTTTTTTAACAAGTTTATGGCTTTTAAAATAAATGGAGCATCTTTACTGAAGAGGTTGATATTGTTTTTATAGTATTAAATTATTGAAGTGTTAGTTTTTTATGTAAACATTGGTGAAATGGTTAGACTGATTATTTTAATTTTAACTAATATTAAAATGATAGTTTTCTATTCCTAGATGTGTCTCCAGTCACGTATTCTGAGCCTCAGTATTGGTGTTCTATTGCATATTATGAACTAAATTCTCGTGTTGGAGAAGTTTTTCATGCTCAACATCATAGCGTCATCATTGATGGCTTCACAGATCCATCGAATAACAACAACAGATTTTGCCTTGGACTTCTATCAAATGTAAATAGGAACTCCACAATTGAGAATACAAGAAGACATATTGGAAAAGGTAGTTTATTTTTAATTACATATTCAGGATTTTATAATTATTTTTCATGCTCTTATCAGCAAATTAATTCAAATGTTGCCCCCCAAAAAATTATATCTAAATCATTGTTTTTATATTTCAGTGAAGTTATACAGTGTGATATGAAATACTATGAGTTATTTGTACACTGATGTATCATAAGATTTATGATACACACATTGTTATACCTAAAGAGTTTTATGATATTGATGTATCTTAAGAGTATTATGATATTTATGCATGTCTTAAGAGAAAAGTGATATTCATATATCTTGAGTATTACAATATTTATATATATCTTGAGTTATGAAAGAAGAATTCACTTATACAATCATAACACTAAAGGAAATTAGAAACTAAATTGAAAATTGAATATTTTTTTTTCAAATGTCTTACCATTTCTAAGTGTTTTATCTTATGTAAACAATACTTGGATGTGTCAGTTGCTTTTAGAGAGAAGTATATAGATAAATAACCAGTCAAGATGATGATAAAGAATATTGCTTATATTTGTAGTAGTATGCCTTGTGTGCAGCAGAGGGCATGGGACAAAGAATTGAGGTTAGACATTGTAATCATGTTTTCATGGAGCTTTTATTTTTCAACAGTTAGCAAAATCAATGTTTATTGTAGGGAGATACAGTACAGTTTTTTAGCTAAATATAGTTTGAAAGAAAGTTATATTTTTAGCCAGACTTTGTTACTTTAATCCTCAACGTTCTGGTAATGCACCTTTATCTAGATACAACATAACTATGTGAAAACTGTGGTTATCTAGAGACAACATAAGAGTATGAAACTGTGTAGTATGATTTCAAGAGAAAAAATGGGCACATCTGCTAGTTCAAAGTCTTCTATAGTTTAAAGCATTTAATGTGTGTGGGATGGTGAAATACATTATTGTAAAGTTGGAAACAATATGAAGTTGACGTGAAATACACATATCTTTAATTGTGTCAATGCAATTTCTTTGATAATTAAAGATACCATCCTATTTCTCTGTTTTTCGTTTTGTTTGGTAAGTAATGTCTTTGTGCATATTCTTTCTTTTTCAAATCTTGCGTTTTAGAAAAGATGTTTAAAGTAAAGAGAAAATCATAGATAACTTGTGGTGGTCCAGGAATTCTTGTCATTTAGATAGCTGGTGGTGGTCCAAGAGTTATTGTTACTAGATAATTCGTGGTAGTCCAAGAATTCTTGTCATCTAGATAACTGGTGGTGGTCCAAGAGTTCTTGTCTCGTAGATAACTGGTGGTGGTCCAAGAGTTCTTGTCTCGTAGATAACTGGTGGTGGTCCAAGAGTTCATGTCACGTAGATAACTGGTGGTGGTCCAAGAATTCTTGTCTTGTAGATAACTGGTGGTGGTCCAAGAGTTCATGTCATATAGATAACTGGTGGTGGTCCAAGAATTCTTGTCACGTAGATAACTGGTGGTGGTCCAAGAATTCTTGTCACGTAGATAACTGGTGGTGGTCCAAGAATTCTTGTCACGTAGATAACTGGTGGTGGTCCAAGAATTCTTGTCTCGTAGATAACTGGTGGTGGTCCAAGAATTCTTGTCACGTAGATAACTGGTGGTGGTCCAAGAGTTCTTGTCTCGTAGATAACTGGTGGTGGTCCAAGAATTCTTGTCACGTAGATAACTGGTGGTGGTCCAAGGTTTTTGCGACACTTTATCAAATTTTGCCACTGTATTCTAAGATCCATCTATTTGAAGTTTTTGTTGTTTTTTCTGTTTTCCAATGTATATATTCCCACAAAAATTACAATGAAGCTGGTAAACTGTTTTGTAATTTCTGTATCTAACTAACACTGCCTTCTCTGGTATAAAATGAATTATTGTCACATGATGTTGGTGTCCGCCGGAAGACATGTATATTAAAAGGTTTTCTTAGTGCTCTGTCAAGTTTGTGTGTTTAGTAGCTTGGATTTTGTAACTGCTTTTTTAGATTTTGGCTGTTGTGACTGTATTTTCTATAACTGGAGGGTTCAATATGACTGTTTTAAAAAGGTTGATTATATATTGTCCATTTTCCAAAGAAGTGTTTGGAGATCAACTTTCATTTCTTAGATGAAGTTTTATGTTTTGGTATAATTAGCTCATTTGTTGCCTTTACTTTTTTACATATGACGTGAAAAATAGTGAATGAAAATATTTTTTTTGTATATTTGTTGATCATTAAGTAAATGTTTAAGGAAAAATAAACATCTATCTATTTCTGCATATTACAAAGTGAAATTAACTGAAAAGTGGATTGTGTTCAAGAAATAGACATTTTTGAAGGTTTTTGAGTCCATGGTTCCAGATTTTAAAGATAAACCTGACATATCTATACTTATGGTGTAAAGTCTTTCTATGTGTGTTGAGAGCTGCAAATACAATGACAACAATGATTACCATTCTTTTTGTTCTCCAAATCTGAAAAAAACGTTTGACAGAATAAAGTTTAGCATTGAAGGAATAGTGTTCAGACTGATGTTGAATAAGGTAATATTTTTTCCTAGGGAAGAAGTAAAATAATACTGTATAGTTTTCTTTATCTAAGAACTTTATTTACTTCCAAAGTGAGTTGTAGTACATGTGTAAAAGTTAGTAGCAACCTTCTGAGTGTGCTTGACAGAAAAGTGTATTTGAACAAGTTATCCAGTCCAACAAAGTTTAAATTTTTTGCTCCTTGATGCACTGACTTTAGTGGTTTGGTGATAGTTTTAGGGGTGGGTTATTGTAATAATATATAAAAACAAATGCTATTTCTGTTATCTTGCTAAATCATGAATTACAAATATACTTTGGGATTTGTGGATAGTATAGTTAATACTCAATGAGTTTTAAACCCTAGTACTTCCAACAGGTACACGTGTCTTTGTCAAACTCAAAAGAAAACCAATGAAGATTGAAAAAATGAATTTAAGGAATTAGTTATTTCACACATGCTTCTCAGTTATGAGTAAAATATTGTATTATGAATTTGCATAAAAGTTCTTATTAATTAGCACTATTGTAATCTTCAGGAGTCCATATTTATTAATTAGTACTATTGTATTGTAATCTTCAGGAGTCCATATTTATTAATTAGTATTAGTGTATTGTAATCTTCAGGAGTCCATATTTATTAATTAGTACTAGTGTATTGTAATCTTCATGAGTCCATATTTATTAATTAGTACTAGTGTATTGTAATCTTCATGAGTCCATATTTATTAATTAGTACTATTGTATTGTAATCTTCAGGAGTCCATATTTATTAATTAGTACTATTGTATTGTAATCTTCAGGAGTCCATATTTATTAATTAGACTATTGTAATCTTCAGGTGTCCATATGTATTAATTAGTACAAGTGTATTGTAATCTCCAGCACTACTGTAATCTTCAGGAGTCCATATGTATTAATTAGTACAAGTGTATTTTAATCTCCAGCACTACTGTAATCTTCAGGAGTCCATATTTATTAATTAGTACTACTGTATTGTAATTTTCAGGAGTCCATATTTATTAATTAGTACTAGTGTATTGTAATCTTCAGGTGTCCATATGTATTAATTAGTACAAGTGTATTGTAATCTCCAGCACTACTGTAATCTTCAGGAGTCCATATTTATTAATTAGTACTACTGTATTGTAATCTTCAGGAGTCCATATGTATTAATTAGTACTATTGTATTGTAATCTTTAGGAGCCCATATTTATTAATTAGTACTATTGTATTGTAATCTGCAGGAGTCCATATGTATTAATTAGTACTATTGTATTGTAATCTTCAGGAGCCCATATGTATTAATTAGTACTATTGTATTGTAATCTTCATGAGTCCATATGTATTAATTAGAACTATTGTATTGTAATCTGCAGGAGTCCATATGTATTAATTAGTACTATTGTATTGTAATCTCCTTCAGGAGTCCATATGTATTACGTTGGAGGAGAGATATATGCTGAATGCTTTAGTGACAGTGCCATCTTTGTCCAAAGTAGAAACTGTAACCATTCACATGGTTTTCACCCTACTACAGTTTGTAAAATACCACCAGGGTGCAGTCTGAAGATCTTTAATAACCAGGTAAAGAATTGTTTAATTTTTGTGTGTATCTTATAATTAATTTTATAGTTTCTTCAAACCTAAGAGAGATGTCCAATATGTTCAATGGTGACATTTGAACTTATGAACTTTTTCAAAAATATGTTTATTCAGAATTACCTTCTATGGCTATAGAACTTTGATTACCAAATCCTACATATAGAAAAGTTAATACAACTACACATGCCACTTATATGTTGAATCTTTCAGTCTATTTCTGTCCATCAGTGGGACAGTGGTTAGTCTTAAGACTTACAATGCTAAAATCCAGGATTCGATTCCCTAGCAGGTATCCCAGTGCTACAAAATAACAAACCAGGCTAGTACTTGCTATTTGGCACACAGCTATCCTCTCATTAATTAGCCTACAACTAGAGAAGTTCCATAATCTCATATTTATGAGATTAAAATTTCAGGTTTTGTCATTTCTAGCACTATTTGTTAAAATATTTCATTTCTTTACTGTTTTTGAAAACTTTGCTTGGTGGGATGAAGATCTTGAAAACTATCTCCTTGAGTTATTTGCTGGGTTTACAAATTTTGTTGAGGTTTTTAGATTGTATTAAACTTGTTATTAAAATTCCTTATAATTTGTTTGTATCAATGATAGATTTTTCAAGTCAACATAATTTTTACTCGATCTGTCATAGTCAACAGTAAGGAAGATGATTATAGGACTTACTCAAACTAATTAGCAAAATAACTGTGGAACTTGACATTAATTACCAAGTGATCTGGAATACTAACTAACAAGCTGATTGATTACAAGAGCTTAACATACTAATTAACAGTGTGATTATGAGAGCTTTACATACTAATTAGCAAGGTGATTACTGGACCTTTACATACTAATTAACAAGCTGATTACAAGAGCTTAACATACAAATTAACAGTGTGATTATGAGAGCTTTACATACTAATTAGTAAGGTGATTACTGTACCTTTACATACTAATTAGTAAGGTGACTACTGGACCTTTACATACTAATTAACAAGGTGATTACTGGGCCTTTACATACTAATTAGCAAGGTGATTACTGGGCCTTTACATACTAATTAGTAAGGTTATTACTGGGCCTTTACATACTAATTAGCAAGGTTATTACTGGACCTTTACATACTAATTAGCAAGGTGATTAATGGACCTTTACATACTAATTAGCAAGGTGATTAATGGACCTTAACATACTAATTAGCAAGGTGATTAATGGGCCTTTACATACTAATTAGCAAGGTGATTACTGGGCCTTTACATACTAATTAGCAAGGTGATTAATGGACCTTTACATACTAATTAGCAAGATGATTAATGGACCTTTACATACTAATTAGCAAGGTGATTACTGGACCTTTACATACTAATTAGCAAGGTGATTAATGGACCTTAACATACTAATTAGCAAGGTGACTACTGTACCTTTACAAACTAATTAGTAAGGTGACTACTGGACCTTTACATACTAATTAACAAGGTGATTACTGGGCCTTTACATACTAATTAGCAATGTGATTAATGGACCTTTACATACTAATTAGCAAGGTGATTAATGGACCTTTACATACTATTTAGCAAGGTGATTACTGGGCCTTTACATACTAATTAGCAAGGTGATTACTGGACCTTTACATACTAATTAGCAAGGTGATTACTGGACCTTTACATACTAATTAACAAGGTGATTACTGGGCCTTTACATACTAATTAGCAAGGTGATTAATGGACCTTTACACACTAATTAGCAAGGTGATTACTGGGCCTTTACACACTAATTAGCAAGGTGATTACTGGACCTTTACATACTAATTAACAAGGTGATTACTGGGCCTTTACATACTAATTAGCAAGGTGGTTACTGGACCTTTACATACTAATTAGCAAGGTGGTTATGGGAGTTTGACATCTAATGAACAATAGTTGATTACAACTAAAGATGTGTTATACTATCAAGTATCTATAGAATGTTGTGTATGATATGTGTGACTTGACTTTCTAACTAAAGAGTTGATTACAACTAAAGATGTGTTATATTATCAAGTATCTGTAGAATGTTGTGTATGATATAAGTGTGACTTGACTTTTTAACTAAAGAGTTGATTACAACTAAAGATGTGTTATATTATCAAGTATCTGTAGAATGTTGTGTGACTTGACTTTCTAACTAAAGAGTTAATTACAACTAAAGATGTGTTATATTATCAAGTATCTGTAGATTGTTGTGTGACTTGACTTTCTAACTAAAGAGTTAATTACAACTAAATATGTGTTGTATTATCAAGTATCTGTAGAATGTTGTGTATGATATAATTGTGACTTGACTTTCTAACTAAAGAGTTGATTACAACTAAAGATGTTATATTATCAAGTATTTGTAGAGTGTTGTGTATGATATAAGTGTGACTTGACTTTCTAACTAAAGAGTTAATTACAACTAAAGATGTGTTATATTATCAAGTATCTGTAGAATGTTGTGTATGATATAAGTGTGACTTGACTTTCTAACTAAAGAGTTGATTACAACTAAAGATGTGTTATATTATCAAGTATCTGTAGAATGTTGTGTATGATATAAGTGTGACTTGACTTTCTAACTAAAGAGTTAATTACAACTAAAGATGTGTTATATTATCAAGTATCTGTAGATTGTTGTGTGACTTGACTTTCTAACTAAAGAGTTAATTACAACTAAATATGTGTTATATTATCAAGTATCTGTAGAATGTTGTGTATGATATAAGTGTAACTTGACTTTCTAACTAAAGCTAAATTTCTTTGGTATATTACTGAACACCCAGTTTTATTTGTCTATCTTTTGAGCCATGTTATGAATGAAACTATGAAGCAGTGTATGGATTTCATAGAATGTATGGCTGTTAAATAAACTATTTGATTTTTGCAGGAGTTTGCCCAGCTTTTGAGTCAGGCAGTGAATCATGGCTTTGAAGCAGTGTATGGATTTCATAGAATGTATGGCTGTTAAATAAACTATTTGATTTTTGCAGGAGTTTGCCCAGCTTTTGAGTCAGGCAGTGAATCATGGCTTTGAAGCAGTGTATGAGCTGACAAAGATGTGTACTATTCGTATGAGTTTTGTTAAAGGCTGGGGTGCAGAGTACCATCGTCAGGATGTAACCTCTACTCCCTGCTGGATTGAAATTCATCTTCATGGACCTCTGCAATGGCTAGACAAAGTACTGACTCAGATGGGGTCACCACATAACCCCATTTCATCAGTATCATGACACAAGATTTGTTACAAGTGGATTTTTTTTATATCATGAACATCCTATTTCAACTTTTGAAAAAAAATAATTATTTACTTAATTTTGTTTTGTTTTTGATGAAAGGTAATTTTTTTTAGATATTGATAAATTCTGTTAGGAAGAAATTGGTATGGAAAGGCTAGTGTACTAATTTATGAAGTTCACTAGACAGAGAATTTTTCATGGATTTCTTGTGTTCTTATATAAATAAATGTTTCATGTTTGAACAGTAACAATAAAAGACAAGCCTGCCAGTTCATCTTTATTTGTACATAGCCAATAAAGAATGTGTTTAAGTTTGTGCCTCATAACTCGACTGTGTGCCATGGGACCTTGCAAGTGGTTTTATATTAATTGACTTTTCTGTCATTTGTATAAGCTCCATCATTCCTGCAGAAAAGATCATTTTGATGTTGTGTGGTACTAGTGTTTAATTTGTGTTAAGATAAATATTGTGACATTTTAGTTAAGTGTTTTATTCAGCTTTAGCTCTAGTTAATGTTGACTGATGTATTATGTATGACATTATTTGCTTGTATTTTCAACATTTCACTTTAGTGTTTAATTTGTGTTAAGATAAATATTGTGACATTTTAGTTAAGTGTTTTATTCAGCTCTAGTTAATGTTGACAAGCTGTTTGCTTGTATTTTCTACATTTCACTTTAGTGTTTAATTTGCACAAGTGCATTTAACAATGAAAGAAAATGAGCAGTATCCCTTAATTAGTTTTGTCTTGTACATAAAATGTAGTTGTTTTTATATTTTTATAGTCAAGTGAGATTAGGTATTAGTCTTATCAGCCTCAGAAACATTAGTATTTTTTAATCTGATTTTCTATGGATTTATAAGTTCAATTTATTTAAGATATGTTGCTTCAAATTTATTTTTGTTTTTGAGCAATGTTTTGTTGATTGCTTTTGCAACATTAGAATAAGGTTTAATAATAATTCGGATATATACATAGCTTATAAACTTTTCCTTTACATGTGTATAATATCTGTATTGTAAAGACAAACAGTGAACAGATGTAAGTGTAGTAAAAATGTATCAAATGATGGCTCTCATTGTCTTGTATTAATCTAGACATTATACATGTAGAGCACATCTGGAAAATTTCTGTGTTATAGTATCTATAATTATTTTTAAGTAACCTTTTAATCTACTTTCACTTCAGAGTGTTATAAAGTCATGAAATCATCATGTGTAACTTTTTCTAAGAGTTTGTGAATGAAATAAACTAATTAATTAAAACATTTTGATATCAACATTTAAAATATTTGTTGCTTCAAAACAATGTATAGAAAATAATTAAATATCCGATATCAATGTGTAAACAGTCTCTGGAGATAAAATAAATTTTGGTATATTGTATCACTAAGTGTAAACAGTATATAGAAATCAATGAACTCTTAATATTTCATGTAAACAATCTATTGAAGTAAAACATGTTTTGACAGATGAAGTAGAATAGTGATATCAACATAGTCACAATTCACAGAAATTAATGAACTCTTAATATTTTATGTAAACAATCTGTTGAAGTACTCTTGATATAATGTCTGTATCTATATATAGTGTACTATTGATATGATGTCTATCTATACATAGTGTACTCTTGATATAATGTCTATCTGTACATAGTGTACTCTTGATATAATGTCTATCTGTACATAGTGTACTCTTGATATAATGTCTATCTGTACATAGTGTAGTCTTGATATAATGTCTATCTGTACATAGTGTACTCTTGATATAATGTCTATCTGTACATAGTGTACTCTTGATATAATGTCCCTCTGTACATAGTGTAC